GAACCCTTGAACATTTTCTTCATGATCTTCAGGGATGGATATCAGACTAATTGGTCTGTAATTCCTTGGGTTTTCCTTCCTTCCCTTCTTAAAGATCAGGATCACGTTGGCTCTTTTCCAGGCCTCCAGTGCCTCTCCCAAGTGCCACAAGTTCTCAAATGTTTTCGCCATAGGGCATGCTATGATGTCTGCCAGCTCCTTCAAAACTCTCGGGTGCATTCCGTCCAGGCTCGCACACTTGTGGATATCGAACCTCTAGAGGTGTTCCCTTACTTGATTTACGTCAATTGTGGGCCCATCTTTTATGTGACAAACTCATTTAATCTAGTGCTTTTTTTTTTTTGGCTCCAATACCTTTCCTACCAACCTTTCACCTGTTTCAGTCCTCCTAGTTCTGTGAATACTGATATATTTGCTAGGCAGAAGTTGGTTGAACATGTTCCAGTATGCTTTTACACCCTGATATCTTTAGAAGAGCTGTTCTTGCTAGTCACTAGGACTGTGCGAAGCTTTGGCTGCTGATTCAATTTGGCGGAGGTTCGGTCTGAATCTCTGAATTGAATCAGGAGACCCTTTAATCTCTCTGAATCAAACTGGAACCCTCCAAATCGATTTGGAGAGATTCGATGATTCGGCCATAGACACAGCTTTAAATGTTTATTCTGTGTACCTCAAGGTACTAGGCGGCTCATGAATGCTGAGATGCTGGGGCAGATGGAGTGTCCCATACGAGCATGGGGGTGGGTGGGGAGGAGGGGTGTCCCAGTGCACGTGGTAGCAGACCCAGAAGTGGACCTGAAGTAGTTCCAGTCCACTTCCGGGTTCATCGCCAAGCAAGCAGGAGGCCCCCCCACACTCCATCTGCCCCACCATCTCAGTGTTCACGAGCCATGCCTGATACCTCGCGGTACGTAGAAAAAACATTTAAAGCTGTGTCTGTGGCTGAACTGCCGATTCTCAGAATCAGCATCGAATCTTCAGATTTGAACGAATCAAACTGGGACACTGATCTGAATCAACGAATTGAATCCCTGTCCCCAATTTTGGCCAAATCTGAATCCAAATCAAATACGGCCTGTTTTGCACACCCCCACGTGCCTATGTGGCATTTATGTAACCACATACCTGCAATTTTTGGAACTCCTGCACAGTTTGGATTCTGTTTCTACTTGTGGCAGGACTGGAGCACTGTACACACACACCTGCTGAGAGTAAAATGGAGTGGGAGACGAGGACTTTTCTAGTCTGACATTTGGCCAGAGAATAGAAGACTTCTATTCTAGGACCCCACTACCTAGAGGGGGTTTTAAGCTTCAGTTCCTGCTTTCCAGGAAAGTACTTTAACCACCAGATCTGGCACTGCCTGGAACAGTGGGGCCAACTTTTTGGCAGCATGCCACAAATTAGCTCTGCACCATCCTCAAGTGACACTCTGCTCTCCTTCCCTTACCCAATTTGCTGCTCACCTTTCTGCTCCCTGCCTGATTTGATGCGGTGCTACCTACTCCTGTCCTGTCTACCTCTATATTGCCTGTCCTCTCCCCAGTCTGCCGTGTGCCCACACAGAGGCTGCACGTGCCACCTGTGGCACCTGTGCTACAGGCTGCCCACTCCTGGCCTGGAGTACCCTGGTCTTCCATTTCCTGGGAAAATGCTCTATCCACTAAGCTATTGAGGTAAAAGCTGACAGGGTCCTCCTCCTCCTCCTCATTCAGCATCAAACATTTAATAGCTGGGGGTTTTTTAAAGTATTGGGACTTCTTCAACATTAAGGTAATTCCATTTTGTCCGAGTGCACATAAAGCCTGAGTACAGCCTACAGAACATGCCAAGAAAGGAAGGGCAGAGTAAGTAAGGCTACTTAGTAACCATGGCACTTACACATGTGCTGGGGGGGGTGGGGAGTACTAATTAAAGCACCCAGGGCATCACATGCATCAGTGTCCCTGCACTGAGAAATGGCAGTGGGGGCACTTGAGTTAAGGCACCCACCTCCGCTACCATTTTTCACTGCAGGGATGCTGATACACACGACACAGGAGTAATTGCCACACTCCAGCAGAATCTATAAATTGAGTCTGCTCTCATGCGCTGTAATTACAGTGCGTTGGAGTAACCTCAATGTATGTATATAAGCACCCATATGTTTTGTGTCAAAAATAGCATTAAAGTGCTATACAAGTGCCAATTAGGATTCAACCCTTTGTGCGCTCAGACTTTTAAAAAACAGCTTCTCATATGCTGGGTTTTACTACTATTTCTTTTCTGGCTGTTCCTGGGTAGCACTCAAAGAAGCATATGCACTCATAACTGCTACTGCCCTCAAGTGGTTCTTGAATCTAAAAGATTTTAAAAGTGTTCTTCTCTTTGGGTCCAGAAATGCCTCTCTCTTAATCCTGTGACATTAACTTAATTTCTATATTTGTGCCTTAGTTCTGTCAGCTCATCCTTTTAGCCAGGGGATACCCAAGATATCACAGGAATGTTGCCAACTCTTCAGTCTGTTAATCTGGCACAAAGTATAATATATGAAAATACACATTGTTTGCATGCTAAATTCTGGAAACTGTTTTAGCTGAATTTACGTCAATAACTGAATCCTTTTTTCAAGATTATTTTATATAAAATATGGATCTTGAAATCCCATACACTAAAAATCAAAATGGAAAAATGATCTATAGACAACATAACCAAGACAACATAACCACCGGGAGGCGCTCTCGTATAAAACAAGGCTACTTGGTAGGAATAAAAGCATCAGTTAACTGGATATTACAGTACTATTCTAATAAATGAAATCCTTGCTATAGGAAACTACTGAGAATGAAAAGAGGCTATCAAAATAATAACCACAGCCATCTACTGATTATTAAACAAATATTTCTAGATGGTGTACTCTGTGGCAGCATGTAAAAAAAGTAATGATAATTTAGACATTTTGATCATGAAATTAACCATGAGGACTTTTGAGTAAGAGTAGATTCCTAAAATGGTTTACAGAATTTACAGTTTTTCTAATCCTAAATGCAATGGAAATGTAGATTGAACAATCTTACCTGATTTATAGGGGAAAGCATCTAGTGTAGTGGTTCTCAAACCTTTTTTTAGGCTCAAGGCACTCCCTCATTAGATTCAAGTCACCCCTCAGAAAATGCCAGCATTTAGCCTTTAGTTATTTTTTGATCATGGAAAAATACTCAGAAAGACTCCAATGGCTCAGAATGTTTTTGACACCATAGATTCCTATTTGAAATCTCTGGGCTTATCTTGTAAATCATGTGTTGGTGTTTGCACACCTAACAGTGCTAATGTTTTGCAGCACCTTAAAAAGCTCACACTGCAACTTGATTAATAATCACTAATTTACTGTCATATAATATTTCAGCCCATAAAAAGTTTAATTGACTAGTGAGGTATGTCAGCAAAAATAAATGAACTATTTTATCATTTGGTATAGTGGAAGGCCTATTAACCAGAACAGATCATTCCGTCTTTCTTACCTTCAGTAAGCTTTCTAAAATGAAATCAGTTATCTGAAATATGACAGATGAAGCCAAACGATTCTTATTCTGGAGTGACATATTGAAGTATTACACACAGCTAGTAAAATTATCTCACTTGGGTTTACATTGCTGAAATCAAGCAGTGAAGTAATTTCATGTGAACATTTTAGGAATAGGGGAGGTGAGAGGGCCAAATAATACCTTGCTTCATTTTAAGTCTACCACTCCCCCTGTATGAAGAAATACTCTGTAAATTTAGCAAATAGCAAAAATAAACCAGCACAACACAATGGAAAACATGGGGATTGTTACTTGTTTCTAATGCTTTAATATGGGCACTTAAAAAGGCTATACCATTCTTCTCTATTCCACTTGAAGTACAGAGTGATTATATATTCAAAGGGTATGTGTATATGCCATTCCTTTCCTATTTAAATCTTTGCAACTGGCATGAAAAGACATAGGAGCCAGATAGAAGTGCTATTTTATACATCTTTTACATGGGGACCTTGTACAAGCAAGACCCCAGAGAACAAATATACCATCTGGGGCCTTTCTGGTCTGATCTTTTTGATTAGAAAACATAAATAAAATCTACATACCACTGGCGACACATAGCGGGTGCATGCACACCCCCTGAGATCGGCCATGCACCCCCTGAAAGTGCCAGCCGCAAAACTGGAAGTGCCGGCGGAAATGCACTTCCAGTTTTCCTGCTGGCTCAGCGGTCGGCGCTTTTGCATCTCTCACTTACTGGCCCAGGTCAGTGTAGGCCTCCCTCTGCCTTTCCCAACTGAAAACTGAGCATCAGTTAATTTGGTTATCAGTTCAACCTACGCAGCTGGAGAGGGGAGCAGGGGGGGCGTGGAAAGGGGCGCCGGGAAAGCTGCCTATATTGAACTGATTGTACCTCAGGCTTGTTGACTGTCTGTACTTAGCCTTAATGTGTACTCCCAGTAGCAGGTTGAGACAGTTGAAATTTGTTGTACATCACAAAGTGTCAAGATCTGAGACAATGGGATAAGGTAGCATCCAAGTTGGCTGGATACTTCTACTGAAATGATGAACAGTGACATAAGTTTTAACATTTATATTGTTATCAAATTTCAGAATTGTCACTACATGAGATAAATAGGACAGTTCGTGTAAGAGCTAAGATTTCACACAGGTTTTGAAGACTGCACAACGTTATACGTGGCCCGAGTTTTACTTTTTTGGCATATGTTTTGTATTTTAAAACCATCTCCAAGCAGGAGGTCAAGGCTATTTTTAAACAGAAAAAAGTAAAAGGAAAGCTTATATTCTACCACCCAGTTCTGGGACTTGTGGTGGAATCAAAGGAAACTCTAGGATCACAGAACATACAGACACCTGACTCCAAGCATTCAGACTTACCCCCCAAAAGCTGAAAAACAAGTTTTGACAATGTAACATCAGCAGATTTAAAACTTTAACAAGCAATGGATGTAAACTAGAAAATATGTATGCATTAGTTACCGGAGGAATTGTTGAACAGCTCCCAACACTGCCAGTTGAAGTGATACTTGTGGTTCTTTTTCTGTGTTCATTGATGTGAACCATACTCTCTTCATTTCTACAATATATAAATTAGATTTTTATTTCATCTAGTAAAAAACAGACAAATAATTCATTATCTTCATGACCCTCATTTTCAAATCGTTTTAAAGATTTAATCTGAAAATTTCCAGCACAATTTACTATTTCTAGTACATGGAAAATTTACTTTTTGAAATATCAAAGTGATAATTTGTGTCATAGATTAGAAATGCAATGCCTCATACAATACAATAGACAAGAATATATTAAATGCATGAGATGTGATTCTAGAAAACTAAAAGTGACATTGTGGTGTTTCAAGTTTATGCTTGTTCAATTATCTCCCTATCAAATTATCTCAGTAAGAGGGATTTGACGGCCAATGTAAACTCAAATTAAGATTTGAAAATTAAGCTGCATTTGTCCAATGTTAGCCACCCATAGGAAAAAAAAAGAATTGGTAACTGGAAGTTATTTGGTGTATGAGGCAAAGTTGAACTCGACAGGTTTGCTTCTAGAATCACTATATTAACTTTGCAATGTTCTCACTAGTAAAAAAAAAATCATTCGTCAGCACAGCAGTGACATGCAGCTGAGAAAAAAATGTTCCATTTTTATGACTAAAATACTAATTTCCAACATGTCTAAAGCAGTGGGAAAGAGAAGAACTCAAATCATACAAGGACAAAAGCTGAAACAAGCCATGGAAGCAGCATTTCCCAGCCTAGACGTAGAAACACGTGATATCTATTTCTAATTCCCTTGCCAGTAATGCGCATGATATAAAAATACTAGTTTAATATTGGCTATCTATGTCATTTTGGACATCAGGGTGCTGACCAGCCCAGGCTAGTCATTTAATTAAACACTGACAGACGAGCTAAGGGTAGGGGAACGAAGTGGTCTGTACTCATTCTGCTACAGATTCAATGTTTTTACTGAGCTATGGTTTCATGTACAGAGGGTCTAGAATAGAAGTTAGCAGGGAACTCTAAACAGGCCAGGCAAGAAATTAACATCTAAAATAACAGATCTTAATATTAGTGCAACTGGATAACACATCCCATGGAATTTGTGCTCATCTTAACAGGAAGAATTTAACTTCAGGTAATAGTATTCTACGTGTAAACTGTATGGCAAGAGTTATTATATAGGGAATATTCTAATGTGATGCACTTTTTCACTAGTACAAATCAACTTAGCTATTTCTTTTTTTTAATGTCTCAACTGTGGAAAGTAAGTTGAGTTAATTCAGGCTCGCAAGACTCTTTATTATAATAGGTATTCAAGAGTAGGTCAACTCATCTGTCTCACTGAAAAGTATTATAAACATTAATATTACTCTGTAGATTAACCAGCATCAGGTCAAAAGAAAGAAAGATGTTATTTTAAGAATAAAGATTAATAGATTCTTTTGTTTTCTATTGTAACAAGGGTGGCTGCACAGCAGCATTTCTTGAACTACTCATAAAAGGTCAAGTGAAGGGGAAGAGGGGAGAGTAGACAGAATCTCTTTGACATGGTTAGTATGATTCTATACCTGAAAGGTCTGAATTCTCTGTTTAATGCTGACAAGTCAACCAGATCAGGGCATTCATCTTCATACTCCTTATTGTGCAGACCTTTCTGATCTTCCCAGTCTTCACTCATGGCTTCAGTTCTCTTCCTGCTCTCAGAAAGATCTACTATAGAATGCTCTGCTTTGCCACTGGTTTTCTCTACTACATGGTGACCTTCAACTTCTTTTACAGCATGGACCAACTCTGTAACATCTAAACTTTGTGTGCTTTTACTTCTTTCAACAGTATCATCATCTTCATCACAAGATATTAGGTCTTTGGTGGATCTATTTTCAAGGTCATCATCCGATTCATCTGTGAAACCTCTTTCATCCTCTTCATCTGCACTACACAGCTTTACTTTCTGTCCAAAGTCATCAACAAGTGGTGGGAACTCTGCTTTATGTTCATCACTGTCAGGGCCAATTGGGTAAAGCAGTTCATCATCCTCCTGCATTTCTTTTGTATAACCACTTGCTGCAATCTCAACATCGAGAGAACACTCTCTCCTGGAAAAAGAGAACAAGATAGAGGCACAAATGAGAATGCTCTCAACGTAGTAAATCAGTACGTAGTACTCATTTTATTTATTTTTGAAATTACTGAAGTGTACAATCCTTTAGTCAGTACTGAAGGATTAATAGTGGGATAGGTCTTGTCATGCTTAGGGTTTGCATTTGTCCTGCCATAAACATTTTTTGTGGCAGCAGCACAGGTGGTATGATTTTTGTGCTGATGTTTTAAGGTCGATGTCTGTTTGCTTTAAGCCAGGAGAGCATGTGCAGCCCAGAGTAACCCATGCTCTCCAGGCATCCTGGCAGGCACAGCCAGGGCTTCAATGGTTCTGATCCTGTGCACCCCAGTAATTCCCATTCTAGGGACATGCAGGATCAGGCCCCTGAAACCCCAGGAGTATCTGCCCAAGTTCTCCCATGCCAGATTCCTCAGGTGAGCATTAATATTCGACTGTGGTCCCTGGACTGCATTAGAGCAAATTTGACACTCCAGGTATGTCTCCACAAACAGAGTAACCCTGGGTTTCTCTGCCAGCAAAGAAGTGCCTGGGGATTTCCAGGGCATTACTGTGCTAGTGGGGAAACCTGGAGTTTCTCCATTTGCAGAGGGGTACCCTGAATGTTGTCCCACAGGACTGGTTCCAGCTGTTTCCATGAGTGGCAGGGCCCTGACCTGGGAAAATGGGCAATGTCTGTTTTGTCCAATGAAGCGGATGGGCTGTACTAGCATACATCCTGGTACGGATGATCCACTTCATTTGGCAAGGTCTGTTTATGTCCTTACACATGTGGAAATGGTACCATGTAGTCTCACTGTACTTAATGTGAATACAAGTGGCTTGATACAAGTACAATCTCATTTATGCGCGTGTCCGCATGCTAAACTCATTGTCCAATCACTTCCAACCACCCGGTTGCACAATATTGTCATCAGCTGACTTTAGCAGAAGTCAACTTTAATTATGATTTAAAGTTAGGTTTGTTATTATATTGTATACATAAAGTGTGTACCCCAAAACTCTGATTCTGAACATATCACAATTATATATAAGCACATTCACATTATAGTATGCTTCCCCCTCTGAAGTCACTGAAAATGGCATAGTAGGGTTTATTATTTGAACAATTTCCAAATCACGTGCTCAAAATGGTTTTGTTATGAGTTTCAAAAAAGGGACAGAGATAACTTAAAAAAGCCAATTTCCATTTTGAAAGCTCTGGAATTCATTTAACAATTTTGCCTTGTACATCACCAAAAGGTTAAAGTCCAGCTTACTCTCCCCACAACTTTCCAGCAAAAACACGTCAAAATTATTCATGGAACTTTTTAGCAGTGAATTGCTGAAAACCAGATCAGAACATTTTAGTCAGCTTTCTCAGTATACAGAACTGGTACAAATGGCATTCCGTTATGGAAACAAGAAATGTCTCTTGATTAAAGTTCTTACCTAATATCCTGGAAAGTTGGAAAAAGTTCACTTTCATAGCTGAAACGCTTCTTAAAAAACTCTTGAATACATTTAACATCTCTGTTAAAATACCTGGTGGAAAACAGAATATTGCCTAGAATTAAAAGATTACAAGTCTGCAACCAATTTATTAATTCTGTAAAACACCAACCTTCACATCACAATTTCCATTATTAGAAATTCTAATAGTATCCATGTATTAGGCCTCCCACACCCCTCACCACATACAGTTTTCCAAATTTTAGAATAATGAGATTCTTCCAGCTGTATCAAACCTATTATTATTAAACACAGTTGTTCTCATAAGGAAATCACTAGTAAGGAAATCACCATTTATAATCAAGTTTTTGTCTTTTTTATTGAAAAAGACAAAGTGGTTAGTACATAACTAAAAAAAGAGAACTTAAGCGATAGAAGTTAATTGTACAGCATTCATTTATGCTTCTTTTTCCTTGAAAGTGACCTGAGAATCTCTGCAAGAACTGACCAACTACATATTCACTGTAAACCAACATTTCTGTCACTTGATAATCATCCCACGTACATTCTGTGGCACCTGATTACATTTCTAGAAGAAAGTTAGGGAGTGTACATGAATGTGAAAAGTCAGTGCTTACAAATTTAAATCAATCTTACATAGTCAAATTGATTGTGAAAATGCCCCTAGACTTGATACATACCATTCAGCATTTGGATGAGATATTGACACCATCTGAGGGAAATCTATCATGGTGACCTGGTCCTCATCATCCAACATAAGATTAAACTCATTGAAATCACCATGAATCAAGCCATGGTTGGCAAGTTTTACAATTAGTTCCATTAGCTCACTGTACACAGAAGCAGGGTCTTCTATTTGACGTACTTGGCACCTAAACGTAAAAAAATATCCAAATATTAAGGGAATGAATGAACGCTACACTGCAAAACTACACAGACTTCCAAGCTGAAAACAAGAGTAAGGACACCAGCTGGCCACGTGTTCAACACACACTATACTATCTGAAGACTGGACTGTCTAATGAGATTTTTACCCAAGTCTAAAAATCTTTAGTTTAAAGTCAGACTTTCAGGGAAATAAGACTTAGCAACACAAATAATTGGGCCTTCTTATGGTGCTTAGAAATATACAGACTTAAGAACTCCATAATTTTTATACATTTTTCTCCTTAATTGGGAGAATACCTACATTTTGGCCAAAGAAAACATCTAAACAGGACATATTTGTACTCTTTTAGAGGTTTGTTTGCTTTGTCATATTTGTGGCATGGATTACAACCTGTCTGATTTTAACTCGGGCTACAGAACTCATTCTTGTTTAAACCAGAATTGATTTGAACTTATGTCAGACACTTAAATTAGCAAAATGAAGGATTAAATCCAGAAATGTTCTGATTTCTAAGTTCACTTGAATTCCTCCAGGATACTCTGATGCCAACCTGTTGGTTATGCTATAATGCCCCGCCCCCCCCAAAACAAAACATACTTCAGTTGCCTACCTTGTAACACAGAATATGAACTGGTTTGTTTTAAAATGATAGTTGATTTACTTTTGGGTGCAGGATAAAAAGTTGTATCAGTTCTATCTCTATTACCAAACTGGCCTTATGCATTCAACCATGCAAACAAACCAAACCAGTCCTTCACAAGCTAACTTTAATGATATTTTAAAGGTTCTAAAATATTTGTGGACAATAGGTAACCACTGCTTATAATTTAAATAACCTCTCCTGACTAAGATTATTTGCTTTTAGCACTGCTGTTAGAAAACAAAAGTATGGATACATAAAAGAAAAGATGATTGCTTTACAAATTTAGAAAGAAAAGTAATGAAGTTGAGTTATTTTCAAGAACTGATGCTGAAGAAAGACCACACAAGACATGCTTGGGGAAAAAAAATTCTTTACCAGGAGCAGAAGTGAAAGTTTGTTGTCCCATTACTGTTTTTGTGAGCTGCGTTTTAGTAAAAAATATTCCAAACTGCTTTAGTTTTTTATTGGACTAAGGAAAAATCCATTTCTTTGGATGAGATGGGAAAAGAGGACAGCATAAATCAATTCCCCTTCATATAAACTAGATTTTCAATGCTGATCTGTAACCACAGTGAGACTGGGCCACAAGCGCCCGATACCTATATGGCATATCTATATAGTGCAAGGCAATGCTGTGGCACGTTGTGCTCTCTTTCAACATGCACAAGTTCCCAAACCTGAAATGGGATGGCTACATTATCATGTTGTTCTGGGTAGACCAAGACAACCTTTTTCTCAACAGACCATACTCATCTATGAGTAGTGCAAAATCCTGTGAAGTCTGTGAAGTCGCAATTTGCCTCATATGGACAAAAAAACCAAGATCAGAGATTCCTGACAAAATATCTTTTTACCTACACTACCAAATCAGTATCTTTAAACAAGTGCTTCCAGTAGGATTTCCATAAATATTATTTGCAATTGAGTTTTAAATGGGAATTAATAGTTCAAGTGCCAGTACTTACAGAGGATAACCATTAACAAGTTCCATAACTACTGCATGTCTATTGTAGTCTATTGGCTCTGGAACAGGAAATTTTCTGTCATGTAAAGCCTAGAAAAAGAAGACATACTGGAAGGTTAAACTAATGAACAACAAGGCAATCCATTAATTCTCAGGAGAGTTCTTTATATTAAATTGCAAATATTTAGCAGCACAGTTTAGGCCTTCTGGTGAAAGTACAGCATCTACCATGCTTTAAGCAGAACCATGATACAGAAAGAATCACTAATAGTCTGACTTTACTGTGTAAAAAGAAGATATATTACAAACAACATGATACAGACAAGGCAAAGATACTGTTTCAGGATGAATGAAATATACAAATGATTAAGATTCATCCTGCGTACTGTTTAAATATATGGAGAAATTCAATATGAAAAAAATTACACTTTTATTCACTTGTCTTAAGTCCTACTTAAGTGACTAAGCGTTTTTTTTTAATTAGAGAAGAACATCATCCTAATCAAATAAACTTGTCAGACTACAAAGATAGCTGATGACATAGTCAATTTGATTGTAGCTAGAATTAAATTCTAACAAACTTTGCTCACCTAATAGCTCCAGCCACTTAGGCAGAGGACCAAAAAAAATCAAACAGTGCTATAATAAAACAGGAAATGACATTTATACAGCAAAGAGAAGGACTATATAGAGAGACAGAACAACACTGTAGAACTGTATTAGGCTTATTGTTCTTACAGGGTTAAATCTTAGAGATTGCCATTCCCTAATTGCTAGAGATTGAGATGAACACAAACCTTGCCATTTTCAGCCCAGTAAGCCATACCTACTAATGGTGCTACAGAATTTTTTGGAAGGCAACCACTAAAATAATCTTATCCGAAGATGTTGATTCCATAATTTTCCAAGTAGCCTGTTCCAATGCTTGCTTATTATTGCTAGACCCTCATAGTCAGGAAGTTCCTCCTAATCTTTGACCTAAATTTCCCCTGTGGCAGCTTGAATCTATAATTACTCTCTACATATTTGCATGTTGGGGCCCTGAGGGGCTGGCACCTGGCCCTGCATGCTGGCATTGGGTACCATGGGTCTGGAAATCTGGTGGCAAGAGAACACTGCCACACTCCCCTGGAATCAAATTTCCAGACCCGTGGGAAGCCCCATGGGCTGGATGACAGGTGCTGTGGGCCAGATATGATCTACAGGCCAGGGATTAAGCATCCTTGCTCTAGGCTGTTTGTGTCTTTCAGCATTTTGCTGCCAATGGCACACATCTGGTAGCTTCCCCTATTTGTGAAAATTGAAGTAAAAGGCATTAAACACTTCAGCCTTTTCCAAATCATCTGTAATGACACTGCCTTCTACGTTCCGTAAGGGACCTATGGTTTCTCTTGTCGTCTTCTTACTTTTAACATACTTGCAGAATCCCTTATCTCCTTTTATGTCCCTTGCCGGCTGCATTTCAAAATGTGCCTTAGCTTTCCTAATTTTTTCCCTGCATGCCTGTGCAATACTCTTACAAATCTCTCTTTCCTACTACAATAACAGAATTTCCAATTCTTGTAGCATTCCTTTTTGAGTTTCAACTCATTAAAGAGACTGCAGTCTAGCCAGGCTGATCTCCTTTAGGTACAGCCAGCTCTTCTGGATTCTTTTTCCCCTCAGACTTGCCTCCCAGGGCATCCTGTCCACCAGTTCCCTGCACTTGTTAAAAACTTCTTTTCTGAAATTCACCCACAAAAATCCTTGCCTCGTGAAATTCATTTCATATTCTTACACAAAACACTTTGCTTTACAAGGAAGACAGACTATAATACCATGGCTCCACTTTGCTGAAAGTCCACATTAGGGATCCCATCTACAATACAAAAACTAACTTCAAAACTAGGGTTAGCAAGGGTTATAAATGGGGACCTGAAAAACACCTGCACATCCTCTTTTCCAGTCTGCTACTTTGATGTTGGTAACTTCCGGGTATGAACAGTTGCCTTTATGACCAAAATACCTTCATGTAGGCAAATTCCTTCATGGCAGCCAGGCGGGACAAATACAGCCAGGACATTTTGTGTCGATGCTTATGATAATCACGTTTATTTTTCAGGTTACGAAAGGAGGTCCTCCCAAGTCTATGCAGTTTTAATGCAAACTGCTTCCCCTCTTCATTTGCAACTATGTAAATATCTATAAAAATGAAAAAAAAATTTAAAAAGTATCAAACATGTTAAATGTTTGTGTAAAATTGCTAGTTTTCTATGCCACATTTTGTTCATTCATTATGTTCACCAGAACAAGCTTTTGGAATATCAGTTCAACACCAGGGCACAAACAGCAGCTACATATATTGAAATCTAAATGTGAAAACCAATGTCCTAATAATGCTAGAAACATTTTGAATACTTTAATAGATTCAATTTTGATATGACCAATGGCATGTCAGAATGAAAGATAAAGAACACTTCATGTTCTTCTACTTGTTCCCAAGCTTTTGAAATGATCCTTCATGAGGTAAGACAAATTTTAGTGTAGGCATCATACAGTGGCTCTGAATATGGAGTAAATTATAGAAGCCAAGGAACCCCTGAATCCTGTCATCAGCAAGAAAGTCTGACATTATCATGGCTAGTTCCAGCACCTGCAACTTGTTTACACTTTACATATAAACACAAAAGTGCTCCTTTTGTTGCACAAACTTGTTAAGCACTGTGGATTTAAATAAAATCTCAATAGTGTTTGTACTTTCTTTGATTCTTTGCATCCTGGTGCAACAGGAATCCAGACATTATAAATATTTCTTTAGAAATGTAGCTGGCTCTCTCAAATCAGTTCCACAATACCCTTCCTCCTCCTAATGCTGTTTAAAACCCATCCAGATTACCTATTTCACACAAGGCTAAGAGCTATCAAGTTATTACTTGGCCAGTTCTTATTCTGCCTTGGGATCCAATCTCACTTCCAGGCAGGCTGCAGAAGCTGATGATGCACCATTTTACCAAAACAGACTGGAAAACAGTTCAGTGTATGTAACCTTACAAGGACAAGAGAGAACTAAACCCATGATTCTGTAGCATTTATCCTTAATGCAGATGGAACACTAGAAACCAGAATTCTCAACTATGCGTAGTTGTTCTTTATCTTCAAAGCAGACAAACTGCACTCTGCAGAAACAGCACTGTATCAAAACAAACAGTGAAATTTCAGCTTCATGAAGTCAATGGCAGAACTCACTTTAACTTAATGGCTCCACAATCTCACTTAAGTGCCTTTGAGAGCTTTCCGCAAGCTGTCCACTGGTCTTTAAAGAAATTAAACTCTCCAATAAATGCGCAATAAATGTCATCCATCTATAAACTAGCATTTCAAATGACTACTTAAGTTTTAAATAAAATCATGAAGTTAAGGGGAAATTTTCTAGTTATTCTCGAGAAGAAAGCAAACTGATGGCATTGTGCAGTATTTCAAACAGAGTGACTATGTATTTCTGGTAAATTAATTAATCTATCCTGAAAAAGATTTATCGGATTACTCATGAGACATGAGTAATATAATAGTTCTGTGCATTTAAAATATTTACCTGATTCTTTACCAACACCCATCTGGTTTCCAATAGAAGTAATCACTTGTCGAAAAGACAGAGTTTTCAAAGCAAGGTAATCGTACCCTGTGTTAGTCAGTCGGTAACCCTGGACAGCTGTATAAGAGAGAATCAAGTGATTGAAACACTATTAATTGTTATTTACATACCACCTTTAATACAGGTCTTTCATTTTAAATCATGTCATGCTGTAAGTAGTCTCAAATGTTTCTTTTTAGCTAACTAAAATTTACAAAAAACCTCATTCTGAGATGGCTTCAAAATTAAGGCAGTGAAGCAATATGGTAATAATACAATACTACTGTACCAAGGAAGATTTAAAAAAAAGAAAAAATTGATGGAGAGTGAAGGCAGAAGAGAAGGGAGACTGTGAGAAATACAAGACAACTGGATTCTTCTAATACAGAGAAAGACAAATGGTTCGGCAGTATGATCTGAAGTTTTATTCCCCATCCCTCCAAAAAAAGAAAGGTAACCTTTTCCTAACAAACATCTTATTTGCTTCCACATTGTTATTTTCTTCCAAGACACACAGACTTGCAGTAAAAAGGATAGGATGCATGATATAAAAGAAAGGATATTCTCTTTTGATAAAATGATAGTCCTTCTTTAGAACATGAAACACTGAATTATTTTATATAAACTGCACATGTAAGTTGTTATGAAAAAGAATGTTTCTGTACTTAATCATTTACAGTACTGATAATATGACAAAGTAATGCAATGAGCACCAACCTTTTTGGCAGGAGTGCCACATATTAGCTATGCACCCTCCAATAGCCTTTTCCTACCTGAACTGCTTTCTGTTTCTTGCTCTGTTCTCCCCATCTCATCTCCTGCTCTGCCTTCAGCCTCCTGCCCTATCTGCTGCTGTGCTGCATGTCCTCTTCCTGACCTGCCATGTGCCCCACACAGAGGCTGCCCGTGCCACTTGTGCCACAGATAGACCACCCTGATATAATCCTTTGCTGGATTACATATATGTAAGCTATGCATTGTAAAATCATAGTACATGGAATGGATAAGAGAAGGTATAAATGTATTCAGCTACTTAGTCACTGAACTACCAAAGGCTGGTTCCTCTGAGAAGCAGACCTCATTGAAAAGTGCAAGAGTACCTGTGCAACACCCGTAACTTGGCTAAATTTTTAACTCAGCAGAATACTGCTGCAATTACACCACTGAACTAAGTCAACACTTTAAAACAGAATATAAATGCTGGTGTGGGACTCGTACTCACTTTTAGTTCGTTCATAAGCTAAGAGCTTGTGCTTCACTAATTCCCTCAAAACTTTGTTACATCCGCCATATTTAAGGCTAGCTATGGAGGCAATCAAACTAGCAGGAACAATTTCATGGTTCTTCATGCCCATTTCCACCTGGGATAGAAATAAAAAAAGTTAGATGTACAATAGTTTTTTGACTAGCCAATGAAGTAAAGTCATTCTCTACATCAAGCCTAAGCTTATTTTTGCAGATAAATTGATACAAACCCCACATAGTAAATAGCATACATTTTTCTTTTATTAGCTCTGCGTTTAAATGCATTAGCAGTAATGAGACAGTTCTTTGATAAGAAAATGACAGATAATGCATATGGAAAACCTCTTGTTTGGGGGAATATAAACATACGCCCTCTGGTGTGCTTCATACTTGGGAAATTCAGCAGGCAACTTCCATACTATTTAGGAAACAACCCATTACTTAAAAGCCAACAGGAGTGACAGATGACAGGAGGAATGTTTCTCCCTCTTCCTACAGCAGGGAATCTGAAACTAGGGATTGGTAAACCAGGGTTGCTAAGAGAAATTCAATTGGAGTTGCAAGGCCCCACAAAGTGGGACCCAGCTTGGAAACCCTGGGTGACTGCAACCCAACTTTTCTGTTGCTTTAGAGCAGTGGTTCTCAACCTTTTGACTCAAGGCACCCATCAGGAAATGCCAGCTGTTAGTTTTCATTTTTTTTTTTGAGTGTGGAAAAATAATACAGCAATTCTTGTTGCAAAAGACCTAGAAAGCTACCATGGGTCAGCGTGTTTCTAACACTGGATTCCTAGCTAAAATCTCCAGTTTTACCCCGTGAATCATGTTGGCACAGCTACTGGTGTTAACATGGCGTGGCACTCCAAGGTGTTGCAAGGAAAATTAAATCTGGTCATGTCAAATTGACCAAGCTCCCAGAAGTCTTTTTGAGATGATTCAGTTAAAAGACTGGCAATGACTGGCCTAAACTTAACCCCAGTAAAATGCCAGGGAATATCCAGAACAATAAAACAATAAATTGAGATAACGTGGTGTCCGTTGGGATTAATTAGTGTGGGAACAGGACAATAACGGGAAAATAACAGAAGAATACTCCAAGTGTGTAAGGCTGTTTTATTGTAAACCTATGATCTATATGCCAAACACTACATAACAAGCTTGGCTAGTATTAGAAAGGGTGACATCACTAAAGGGTTAAATAGCATAAGCAAGATCGCTGTTCGCCATTTATACCATCTGCGTGGATTTCTAAGGGAGGATCAAGCCTTCGGACTTGGAGCAGCGCAATCCAGGAAGCTCACTCAGTGTGGCTAACTGTGGGGAGTGACTCCTGAGTAACCTCTCTAGATAGTAGTATTGTATTAGTATTGTATTATTACCATATTGTATGGTATCACATCATCACTGTGATGCAGTGAGATTCACGTTAACACGCTCAGTTTTTGTGACTGCCTGCTTACACACTGGCAAGCCCAGTAAAGCTGACTACTTATTTACTGGCAAACCCAGCTGATTAGTTGCTTTGTACTTAGTGGATATTTTTGTAGTTAATAAAGCTTCTGACTGCTTATTGGATGAGTACTCTGGGTTAATCACATAGTTCTCCCTACCCTCTGAGAAGTAGGGCTCAAGTTTCAGCCCAACACATGGTACTCTTGAAAATATCTCAAGGGACTCTGGTTGAGAATCACAACTTTAGACATTGTGTTATAATGATACCTTCTTCTCCAAGTTTCACTTTGATGCTCCTGGAAGCTTCTGATTTACTAAGGAGATGCTTTTGTGTCCCGTACCCCAGCGATGGGAGCAGTACCGAAACGTAGACAGGTTTTTGCAAACGATTTGCTCTCACTGCTACTGCCATTTGAATTCAATGTGTGGTACCAACAGTGCCTGTATTAGAGCAGGTGTTTTTGGCCATCAGCCTTGCCCTGCAACAGCTCATGCAATGCAACGCAAAGCTGAGACAACAGGTGGCTGCCAGGCTGAAGCATCTCCCTCAAAGTGTTTGCTTTTCAATGGCTGAGTTGAAATGAAATCTCACAGGAAGCCTTCCAGGCAGGGCAGGGCAGGGCAGGGCACTCAGGCCAGCTCTAGCCGCCTGTATCCAGAGGGGAAAGCGAGCCTCCTGCAGTGGCAGGGGACGGATCTCAACATAGGGACAGCGCGGCCTGTCTTTTCCCGGCGCGCCGCGGTCTCCCATCCAGCAAAGATTCCCTACCAGCCCCTGCTCAGCACCGCAGGCCGCGCTACCGGACGCACCACGAGGGCAGCCAGGCCGCTCCTTACCGCGGTCAGCACCCGGAAGTGGTCCCGCGCGAGGTACCGCAGCATCACCACGTTGAGCTTGCCCATGGCCCCGGCGCGGATAAACGAGACCAACAGTACCGCACACGTCCGCGCCCCAAGACCGACCGCTTTACACCTGCGCAGAAGCTACGAAGCCGAAGCCCTGCGCAAGCGCAGGAGGGGGCGGCGAGGGCACCCGCCTGGGGGGGGGGGCGGTCCTGACAGCTGCATAAACAAACGTGCAGGAGAGCCGCACTGCGTCCCGCTTGCTCCCCGCGCGGAGACG